ACACAGCTTGCAAGTGTCAAGTGTTTGGTCTGAGGTCGGATTTGAACTCAGGTGCTCCTGACTTCAGGGCCGGTGCTCTACCCACTGCACCGCCTAACTGTCCCTTGACTTTGTTTTAATATTCCTTGTCGTCTCACAGAGTCACTGGCTTCTATCTGGTCCATTCTAATTTTCAGGAAGTTTGTTCCTTGGGCCGGGTTTTGTACCTCTTGTGTCAAGTTGTAAATTCTGTTTCCAATTCTTTCTTCTGTAGCTCTCATTTCTTGTCCATTTTTTTTTCTTAAGTGCTTTCATTTCATTTATAAAAACACTTTCTAAAACTCTTGCTTCATATCTTCTAGGAATTCTAGTTGAAGTTGTATTCAAGCCATATTTTTCTCTGAGACATTTCTTATAGATGAAGTCATTCTCTTCAGGGTTTGTGTTTTGAGTATCCCTGCCAGCCTAATAGCTCGTTATGATGAAGTTTTCTTTTTTAATTTGCCTATTTCGTGACTTCAGACTTGATCTTAGGGCTGGGCTCTGCCTTACTCTGACAGAAAGGTCTAAGTTGATCCTGCTACAGCTTTTTGGTTTTTTTTTCCTTTTAGGCAGTTGAGGTTAAGGGACTTTCTCCCAGAGTCATACAGCTAGTAAGTGTCAAGTGTTTTGGTCTGAGGCCGGATTTTAACTCAGGTCTCCTGACTTCAGGACCAGTGCTCTATCCGCTATGCCACCTAGCTGCCACTCTGCTGCTGCTTTTTAAGGATTGAGTGTTGTATTTTTCCAGGATCTCAGGGACCAGCTGATGGACTACAAGCTTTAAGTGCTCCCAAAGTTATCTGATACAGGGCAAGTCTGATTCTTGCCCCTCCCCCTTTTCCCACTCTGATCTGAGCACTGCAAGATCTTGACCTAGATTTCATTCAGAACAAGAGAATGCTGATTAACTTAGCCCTTATTGGCCGTCTCCGAAGTTCTGCTGGTTCATAGTGATAGAATCGTCGCGTCTTTGGTCTGGAATTCCAGTCGTGGTTATTTCTCTTCAGGCTGAGCTAGATGCTGAAACTGAGATCCTACTCTGCCCCTGGGGTCCAAACCATTCTCCTGCTGGGGCTCCCTACCCAGAAACATCACCTATGCAGGTCTCGTTCTCAGTTCATAGTCTGGATCCATGACCCAGAACTAGGTAGTGAGCAGCAAAATAACAGTCTGGCACTTGGTCACATCACAGTACCCTGGTGTAGGTCTGGGACCTCCCCTTCCCCTGGTATACAGCCTCTTTTTGGTCACTGAAGCAATCCACCTGCTTTCAGAGTGTTCCTGTTCCAATCATGTCTTCTTTGTCAGCAGACCTCTCTGTCTCCCTGTACTGACCTGGGCTGAACAAAGGACTCACTGTGACTTTTTTTCTGAATTTCCCTTCAGGATTAGGTCTGATGCATTTTCTAGGTCTTTTTGGAGTTTTGTGGATGGGAACTTGCTGCATTTCTCATTGCCACTCTCCTACAGAGGCATTAAAAAAAAACTGGAAGTAAACAGTAGTGAGTCAACTCTTTGAATTTTTGTGAAAGGGTGCTTAGTGCTGCTAAAGGGCCCTCTGAATCTAGGTTTTCCATACTGTCAGAGTCTAACAAACTCATGTACAAGAGAGCACTAGGTTGCCATGTGGGAGCAGCTGCAAATGGGGGATGGAACAGGGGTGGTGCCTCATGTTAACCACCTGTCAAGGCTTATTTATCTTTGTGAATAGGAATATATTTTGTGTCTTGAAAAGTGAGGTTAATAACAATGGAATATATTTGCATACATAGGTATGTATGTGTGTATGCATATGTATATATATATACACATATACATGTATAAATATACACACATGTGCATATGTTTTTGTGTGTAAAGTTAAAAGAGAACAATATTAGTTTTGTATTCCTGAATTTTATGAATAAAAAGCCAGGGTTGATATATTTTTTAGCATTTCCACATACACCGACCTATATGTCTATGTATTTGTATGTTTAAGTAGGATCAGAATAATGAAGGCTACTGGAGCATTTCGAGGACTATATCTCAGAACAATATTATAGGTTTTTTAAAGTACCAAAATGAGGTCCTCTAAGAAGTTTATAGTGTTGTGATACCCACCTTGGACCAGTCTTAAGGTCTGCCTAAGTAAACTAAGATTTGTGCTACAATGCTTGTTAAAGCAAGCTTTTACTGTAACAAATAGTATCATCCCAGAATAGTACCTGTGCTTCCTTCATGGAACACAGCCCAACCCCTTGGGGTGTTTCAAATAAAATTCTACAGACTCAAAAAGAAGAAAGAATGATAAACATTATTCTTTGAAAATGGATGGGGGTTTTGTAGCTTTATTTTGAAAGCCTCATCAGGCAGCTAGATGGTGCAGTGGAGAGAGTGCCAGACCTGGAATGAGGAAGACCTGAGCTCAAATTCAGCCTCAGATACTTACTGGTGGAGTGGCCCTGGGCAAGTCACTTAACTTCTGTCTGGCTCACTTGTTCAGTTGAAAAATGAGCTTAATTATAGTACCTACCTCTCAGGGTTGCTGTGAGGATAATATATGTATCAAGGTGAGATAATATTTATCAGGTGCTTAGCCCAATGCCTGGCACATAGTGGGCACCTAATAAATATATGTTTGTCTCCTTCCTATTAATCTATATGGATCCATTATCTGTCAGTGGTAGGTATTTTTTGGTGCCAGACCATCGAGTTTAAGAAGTATGCTAGTGAGCCACATTTCACATTTTTTTCCATTTTCTAATTCTTGGTAACCTTTCCCAGATCACCAGACTTTTTTTTTCTCTGAGTAGCATGGTTTTGTGGCATTTCACTAATGACAGTCCTAAAGTCCTAAAATGGCAGGATGAGTTCAGTCAAAGGTGTTCATTTCTCCTGATATCCCAAGAGGACAGAATGAACGTGGCTCTACAGAGTACTACTGTGTATATATTGGGCCCTAATCCCCACATAAGGGCAGCTTATTTGGGTGTACTTACCCTGGAAAAAGATGGGCAAAATGAACAAAGAAGTTTCCATGTATATCTTGAGGTAATAGTCATTGCCATTTTAAAGATCTTGACCTACTTTTTGTTAAATGTTGGTCTCTAAGTCATAACAGACATTTATTTTAAAACTGCAGTATATGTGTTCAAATGTGGGGCTTCATCTTTGCTATAGAAGGGTCAAGTAGAGTTTACTAGAAATGAAAATGAGATTTTTTTTTTCGGTTAGTTCCTACCTCTGTCTAATCAGTCTTCTTTTTAAAATATTTTCTGAGCTCTTAGGTTCTCCCTTTCCTTAGGAACAGGGAAGGTGAGACTGCCACAAATCCCCACATAATAGCCGGCTTACATTTTTTGTGGTAAATCCTTGATAATAGTAATAATACAAAATAAGACCTCTGGCATGTTGGGTAGATCTTTGATAGAGGATTTACAGAAAGACAGGTACAAGAATGCCTGGAATAAGCTATGTAGAAGTGTTGTGATCTGCATTGGCAGAAGGGCATCCTGTACAGTTGAGGTATAGTTAAAAGAATGTTGGTTCTGAAGACAGAAGACCTGAGTTCAAATCCCACCTCTGACCTGAATGACCTTGGACAGGTCCCTTAACTTTTGAGGACCCAGGTTTCCTAATCTGTAAAGTGAAGGGGTTGGGCCAGATTGTTTCTTGAGGTCCCTTCTTCCCCTAAATCTGTGATACTATGAGGTCATGGATACACCAAAGTAGAGAGAAAAAAAGATACCTAGCCTGAAGAGAAGATGGGGCAAGGAGAGGGTTTGGGGTTGGGAATGGGAGGTGTCTTCAGATAAGTGGAAGGATGTCACATGGAAAAGGGCTAAGATTTGCTCTGCTTGGCCCCAAAGGACTGGACTAAGCAATGAGTATAAGTTAAAACAAGTCAAATTTGGGCTGAATGTCAGGAAAAATTTCCTTGTGATTAGAGCTATCCAAAAGAAGGATGAATTTCCTCCAGAGCTAGTGGGTTCTGCATCACTGCAGGTCTTTCAAACACAGGGTGAATAATCCTTGTGGTGGATCTTATAGAAGAGACTCCTCTCTGAGTGTAGCTTGGCCCATATGACCTCTGAGGTGTCTTCCAAGTCTGAGATTCTGTAATACCTAGTATTTTATTAAGGACACCCATAGAACGAATGTCCTGGAAAGTTGCATTTTTACTATGTAAACATAATACTGTAGGAGCAAATATTCCCCTAACCTCATGGGAAAGAGGATTTATGTAGTTGGATGAGTATGTGATTCTGCTTAGCTCTAAGGTAGACCCCCCTCCTGATTGGAAGAGTCAGGTAGTGAATAGCATAAAGACGACAAGACCTACAGACTTTTCCTACAAGCGTTAGCAATGGTTTTTCATACAGGTGTAGTTTACCATGACAAGCCACATGTGAAATAATCAGATTTAAAAGGCAGAGGAGTAAAAATGCATTTTACTAAATAAATCGCTGAAATGACTAAATATTAATGAAATTGAATTTACGTATACACTTTTCACAAGAAAGCATCTGTTACATGTGGCTGACCACACTGGCTGCTTGCCAGGGCAGGAATGAAGATGGAGAGCAATCTTTCATTACTTCAGATTGTTCTGTCAGGTTGTATGGCTACATTAGCACTAGAGCTAAATAGACCTGAGAGTGCGTCTCTCCCATTTGAAGTCAGCTCTCTTAAATGAAAAGTACAGAAGAGGGGAAAGCAGCACAACTGGGTAGAAAGAGAGCCATTCAGTTTTGGAGTGAGCTATATTACTTTGGGCAAGTTATTCCATCTTGCTGAGCCTCATCTGGGAAATGGGAATCATTAATATTTATATTTTCATTGTGAGAAAATAGCTGTATAAACTGTAAGGTGCTGCAGAAAAGGAAACCATTATTGTTGGTGGTGGTGATGATGGTAACCGTTGTTGTTGTTGTTATTGATGTTGTTATCATCATCATTTCATGACACTTAATCTTTTTTTTCCCCTTAACCCACAGCTCGAAAGACAAAGAAGAAAATTAAAGGAATTCAGCAACCCAATCCAGCAACAAGAGAGAATTCTGAAAGTCCTGTCAACAAAACAGTGGTTCCTGCGTCATTGCCACAGCTCACCCCAACGCTAGTGTCACTCCTGGAGGTCATTGAGCCAGAGGTGTTATATTCAGGATATGACAGTTCGTTGCCTGATAGCACTTGGAGGATCATGTCAACACTTAACATGTTAGGAGGACGGCAAGTGATTGCAGCAGTGAAATGGGCAAAGGCAATACCAGGTAAGAAGAAAGTATGATCTGTGGACCAATAGATAGCTTGATCTGTAGATCTGTATCTGTGGATATATATAGATGGATCAATTGATTGCTTGATATATAAATAAAGATAGATCTATTTCAGTCATTTCAAGTTTCAGTCATTTCCAACTCATCATGACCCCATTTGAGGTTTTCTTGGCAGAGATACTGGACAAGTTGCCATTTCCTTCTCCAACTCATTTTACAGATGAGGAAACTGAGGCAAACAGGTTTAAGTGACTTGCCCAGGGTCACACATCTAGTAAGTGTCTAGGCCAGATTCGAACTCAGGTTTCTCTAAGTCTAGGCCTGGGACTTTATCCATATTGCTACCTAGCTGCCCATAGATAGAACTATACATAAATCTAGAGATATAGATCTATACTATTGATCTATTGATAGCTTGATCTGTAGAGAAAGATAGATAAATAGCCTTTTCTTTTTTGAAAAAAAATATTTTTACCCAATAGGCTTGAGGGCTTTGTGGGAAAATCACACATTTTAACCACTTTATCAGCCTAGATATAAAAGGCAGCTAGGTAGCACAGTGGATAGAGTACTTGACTTAGAGTCAGAAAGAGCTGAGTTCAAATCCTACCTCAGATATTTATTAGCTGTGTGACCCAGAGCAACCATTTGACCTCTTCTAGCTTCAGTTTTCCCATCTGTAACATGAGGATGATGATAAAACCTCACAAGATTGTTTTGAGAATCCAGTGAGTTAACATACACAAAATGCTTTGGCAACTTTAAAGTTCTGCATAAATACTCTAAGAGTAGAGGTTCCCTTTTTTGCTTTTTCCCTTCTTGTATTCTTTCTAGTCATAGAAAATGAACCTAGTCTTTACCTAGACATAGCAGGGAACAAAAGATGTCCACCCTATTTTATTGGCCTCTCTCTCATACTGTTCTCTCATTCCATCAGGTTACCCCAGGCAGTGTGCAGGGGAGCCAGGTTGTGTGTATCTAAAAGAATTTATTTTTATTCAGTGAGATAATACAGAGTGGTCAGTCAACTTATGTTATTGGTTATGGTCTTAGAGAGGCAATTTGTCATAATTGATAGAGGACTTAACCTCAAGGTCGGAAAAACTGAGTTCAACTCTTACTCCTGACACACAGTCATTCTTGCCTCTGTGACTGGCAAATCATTTCATTGCTTAGAGGTCCCCAGGCAACACTGTAAGCTGTAGACAGGTTGGTGATCTGCATTTGTAGAAGGAGTTTCCATCCTGGGAGTTCTCCATCCCTGTGAAATCACAGGTCTAGATGAGTTATGTCCTTATGTGTACCTTTTTACAAGAAGAAAATTAAAAGATGATTCTTTTTATCCTTAAATTATTTGGATGAAAAATGATTGGGGAGAGACTACAGATGTGGTGGGATAAATGTTTAGAGGTTAAAATGCATCTTTCATAAGCATGGCGTTGGACAGGTAGAAGGCTGGGGGCAAGAGTTAGACCTGAGTGTGACAGATCAGTAATTCAAAGGTTATGCTGTTTAATATTTAATTTTTTTCTACTTCTGCTACTGTGCAACTTTAATGAAGTCCCCTAACCTCTCAGTGCTCTAGGTAACTCTTTAGGAATACAGGTTTCAGAGAAGGTGCCAACTCGCATTTGTGGAGGGAGTTTCCTTATCTAGGAATTTCCTCTACCAATGAAATCCTTATACCCTTTCGGCTGTTGCCTATAATTAAGTGGTAGTCATAGCTGGGCATCATGAAAGGTTTTTTCTATGGACACCAAAGCTATCATTTTGGTCACTTTGATTTGGTCTTACTTTAGGTTTCAGAAACTTACACCTGGATGACCAAATGACCCTGCTGCAATACTCCTGGATGTTCCTGATGTCTTTTGCACTAGGGTGGAGATCATACAAACAATCAAGCGGCAACCTGCTGTGTTTCGCTCCTGACCTGATTATGAATGAGTAAGTGGTCCATGAGGAATATTTACCTGCCACCATTTTGAACAAGCTTCATTTTTCTAGGAATAGGTAGTATTGTGATGGTCTGTGCTAGTGAGTGAAAGAGAAGTGTGCAAAATACCAGAGAGCTAGGAAGGCTTGATTAATTCTGGTTGGTCAGCACTGACCAAGAGGGAAGAAAGGCGGGGCGTTTATTCCTGTCTAGCTGGGTATATTCTAGAAGGTATCTTTGGCTCATGGAGGTTAATTCACTGGGTCAGTGTGAGTCTAGTAAGGATAATCGAAGGACATCTTTGGGATCAAAGCAAAGTATTCAGCTTCTGTGTTCATATAGAATTGAAAGAACACACAGCAAAATTCTGAAGGGAGAGGAACCTCTGATTTTGATCATATTCCACCCTATGTTGTTATTAACAGCCATATGTGCTAAGAATGTGTCATAAGTAACATTGGAAGGGACAGATAATGTCAGGTGACAGGACCTAAATGGGATTTCATGGGAATAAATATATAGACCTGTACAAGAAAAGAATGGGGAGGGAAGGAACAAGCATTTATTTTGTACCTACTTGATCCCCATTTTACAGTTGCAGAAACTGAGATAGACAGGTGAAATGATTTGCTCAGGCCCATACAGCTAGTAAGTGTCTGGTGCTGGATTTGAACTCAAGTCTTTATGACTTCAGGCTGAATGCTGTATCCACTGTGCCTTCCAGCTGGGGAAGATGTGACTAAATGACCAGTTGATTTGGAGGTGGGGGGAGGGAAAGCTCAAGGGTTTTAATCAACAGGAAAGTTGATAAGACCTAAGCTTTTACCTTGACACCATTGAAGCTCACTGCACTCCCAAAAATCATGTGTCCCATCGAGGGATCCTAGTTCTACTGTAGCCAGTCTTTTGTTTTAGGCCCAGTTCTGGGTCAGTAGAAGCTAGAACTAATGAGGGTGGTGGAGGCAGATTTAAGCTCACTATCAGAAAGGATTTTCTAATCACTTAGATACTATTTGAAAAATGAAATGGTTGCATCTGTAGGAGTTAGTGAGTAACCTTGTCACTGGAGGGATTTCAGTAGAAATTGGATGACTGAAGTTATAGATGCGCTACAAGGAATTTCATCTGGTGATCTGGTCCTGCAGTGGATAGAGAGCACTTGTCCTGGAATCAGGAAGACATAAAATCAAATCTGGCATTAAGACACTTACTAGCTGTATGACCCTGGGCAAGTCACTCAACCTGTTTGCTTCAGTTTCCTCAGTTGTAAAGTGGGAATAATAATAGCACCTACCTCCCAGGATTGTTGTGAAGATCAAATGAGATATTAAATAGTAAATAGTAATAATAGTAAAATAATAATAGTAATAATAGTAAAAATAGATAGTAAATTGCTTAACACAGTACCTGGCACATAGTACATGCTGTAGAAATGCTTATTCCCTTCTCCCTCAATCGCTTACTTCGTTAACACATGGAAATTTGTACTCCCTTCTGATTCTTAAAATGCAATAGAAACAAAGTCTGAAGGGTTTAGAAAAAAAACTATGGAAAGTCTAGTAGGTGCATCCCTTCTAGTTGTTCTTTTTGAATTATCTCTTTTTTTTAACACTATGGCCTTTATCTTAATAAGTAGCAAAAAAAGTAAAAGGTTCTAGATGTTCTGTGTAATATAAGCCCTCATATCCAAAGTGTGTGTATATACATATGGGCTAGGAAAAGGGGAAGGGACAGAGGGGAAAGAATCAAAGATTTGGGGAAAGAAAGTGTCAATCCTGGGTGGCATCATATATTTATACCTCCAATTTGACTGAACAAGATTTTATTAAATACCTACTGTATACAAGGAAAGCTTTGTGATATGGGTAGCTGCATGAAGGATGAATTGGGGAGGGGAGAGATAGGAGTCTATAATGAGGGTCTGAACTGAGGTTGTGGTTGTGAGAGTGGATGGACGAGGAAAGATATAAAAGATGTTGTAAAAAAAATAAAAGGTAGAAGGGGAAGGGAATGACCATTTATATAGCACCTACTACATTCCTGGCAGTGTGCTAAGCATTTTACAGATCTCTTATTTGATCCTCACAACAATCTTATGAGGTGGTACTGTTATTATCCTCATTACAGTTGAGGAAACTAAGGCAAATGGAGGTTAAATTATTTACCCAGAGTCACACAGCTAATAAGTCTCTGAAGCTGAATTTGAACTCAGATCTTCGTGACTCCAGGTCCTGCTCTTTATCCACTGCACCACTCAGCTGCCAAGACATCACTTGTCTAATAATCAGCAATGGTGAAATAAAGGAGAAGGGTCCAAGATGACTCTTAAGATTTCAAACCTGAGTAACTTGGAAGATATTAGTTCTCCCCTCAAAAAATGCAGAAGTTTGGAGGAGGGATGAAAGAGAAGATGATGCATTAGTTTTGAATAATGATGAGTTTGAGGTGTGGTGGAACGTCTAGGTAGAGATATCCATCAGGAAGGTAGAGATATGAGACTGAAGTGTAGAAAGGTACTGAGCTAGATGTATAGATTTGGGAATTATCAATATAAAGGAAGTAACTGAACCCACCGAAGAGATGAGATTACTGAGGAAGAGAGTATAGAGAATGAACATAGTTTTGGGGAACACTCACACTACAGGGCTAAGAAATGATGACAGTGATAATACCACCATTTGTATAGGTCTTTAAAGTTTACAAAGCACTGTACATGTGTCGATCTGGGTTCATGTTCAGAGCAATCTATTAAGGTACATATAACAGGTATTATTATCCCCATTTTACAGATGAGCAAATAAGGGCTTAGATTAAATAACTTGCACATGATCAGATAGAAGGGAAATTAGGAGAGAGAAGAGTCACAGAAGCCATGAGAGGAGAAAGTATCCAGGAGGAGAGAATGATCACCATTGTGAAGGTTTCATTGAGGTCAGAGAGAGAACGGAGGCTGAAAGAAGACCATGAATTTATCAATGAAGACATCACTGGCAACCTTGAAAGAGCAATTTCAGTAGAGTATTGGAGTCAGAAAACCGATTATAGGGGCTGAGGAGTGAATGGATGGATGGTGAAGAAGCCAGAAAGGACAGATATTAGTTTAGCATTGAAAAAGAGAGATTTTGGATGATAGCTTGAAAGAATGGCAGGTTAGAAGAGTGTTTTGGGGGGGATTGTGGGTTTTTTGGTTTTTGGTTTTTTGGCTAGGGACATATGTATAAGCAGCTAGGGAGGAGCCAGTATATTGGTAAATAATTGGGGATAAGAGATAATGATCAGTGGTAGGGCAGACTACAGGGTTTCTTTACCTTTGTTGTGTCATGGATCCTTTTGAAAGTCTGATGAAGCCTATGAACCCCTTTTCAGAATATGCATGAAATAAAATACACAGGATTACAAAGGAAACTGAGTTATAGTGAAATACAATAATCAAAATCTTTTCAAAATAAATTCATGGAGTCTACATTAAGAACTTCCTGACCTAGAAGAAAGGAGAGAATGAGATCAAGGATACAAATAGAAGAGTTAGCTTGGGGACAGGGTCTGGCTAGGAATTCACAGGATGAAGCACTTCAGTGCACAAGAAGCTGGGCACTAGAACAAGATGAGCTCCCAGGTGCAGGAACAGGTGTCAGCTGGCAGTTTCATCGCCCACTAGCTAGGCTCACTGCCCAATTCAGAGAGGAGGACCTGCACTTAGGAGTAGCATTTGGGGTAAAGAGCTATCATATGCCATAGGCTGTGTCCTGAGCAAGTTCAGAAATAAGTAGCAGCTATGTGGCTCTTACTCCAGGAGCAGAGCAGGGTTTCTGTTCCAGCCTCTAGCCTGATTTGAAGCCTGCAGAACAATAACAAGGGCAAGAATCCCAAACCAAAGGAAATCTTGAAGTTCTTTCACCCTGAACCAGCCAATCTTGGATCCCAGCTTACTGATTCTGGCTAAATCCAACAAAAGTCCACTGTTGCTCAGAGCCACATCCAGGACAGGAACTTACAGAGGTTGGAGTGGGGGAGGGTGGTAAGATCAGATGTTACCCTGGGAATCACTTTGGGAATCAACAAAAGCTTGCAGAGCTCCAGCCTGTCCCTGAGATACTGAAAAAAATACAACATTCAATACCCCAAGAAAGTAGGAGCAGTACCAGCCCATAACTCCCCTCCAGAACTGTACAGAGCCCAGTCCTGGCACCAAATCTGAAGTCAGGAAGTAATCTGGAAGAATGAGCAATCAAAGGAAAATAAAAATCCTACCATAAAAAGCTATTGTGATGACAGGGATGCTCAGGACAAACTCAGAAGAGGAGAATGGCTCCAAAACATCTACAAGCAAAGACTTACAGAAAAACACAGCTGGGGTACAAATTCTACTAGAATTCTAGGAAGATATGAATTAAGAGTTGCCGGCATTTTTTAAAGAGTTAAAAGTATCTTTTTTATAAATGAAATAAGAGTGCTTGAAGAAAAAATGGAAAGGGAATTAACAGCTTAGTGCCAAAGGTATAAAACCTTGCCCAAGCAAAAACTCCCTGAACATCAGAATGGACCAAATGGAAGCCAATGACTCCATGAAACATCAAGAAATATTGAAAACAAAGTCAAAAGACTGAAGGAAATAAAACAGAAGAAAATATAAGGTATCTCAAAGCAAAAATAACTGACCTGGAAAACATGATTGAGAAAAAAAGTTAAGAATTGTTGAACTACCTGAAAGTTATGACCAAAAGAAAAAAAGTTTTAACATATTTCAAGAAATCACAAAAGAAAACTGCCCAGATGGCTTAGAACCATAGGACAAAGTGGATATAGAAAGAATCTACCCAGTCATCTCTGGAAAGAAACCCCAAAATGAAAATTCCCAGGAACAAAACATTATAGCCAAAATCCAGAGCTTTCAGGTCAAAGGGGGAAAAAAAAAATATAAGCAGCCAGAAAGCAACAACTCAAGTACTAGGGAATTTTATTCAGGATTACACAGGATTTAGCAGCCACCACTATGAAAGAATAGAGAGTT